TGTAAACCAAGTCCGTACGTTCATAGTAAAAGACCTAGCCTTGTTGAGACCATAGAAAAACAAGAAGTTTGTCAGGACGAACATTAACCCGTTCCTAGTTTTTTAGTGAAAAACTAGAGTCGTCAAAGTTTACAGGTAGCATAGATTTGTAGGATATTACTCCCGACCACAACCCCCTTATACCGTAATGGACGCGACGTCTCTCGTTGAAGGAGGCATGGTTTCTCTTGAAGTCTCACCCCCTGAATACAAATTCTTTCTATAAACGACGTACTTTGTTAATTGTTTCCTCTAAGATTAAATCCAAAGTTTCCAGTTATGGAACACGGTAGCATGGAGAAAGTTAGGGAGTGAGCATGAGAAAAGACTGATGTTTACAACTGTGATGCATGTAAACAGATGACTCATTTTAAAATAAATTTCAGTTTATTCAAATGACACTGATTTTATCATCAAAATCTGAATAAATGATTTTAATCCTCCAAACATACATGAGAGATAAACAATCACTATTATTATTATTCCACCCAATGTGTTCAAAATAAGTGTGTTCACTGTTCAATGAAAGCAATAGAAGCTCCTCGCCTCCTTTTGGAAACAGTCTCAGCATGCCAATTAGAATTACAAAAGGTTCTGCTGCCCCCAACCTTTTCATTTGAGCATCGCAGCAGTTTCATGTAATGAAGCGCTGCTAGTGCAGGAGGGCTTTACTGAGACCAGATTGTATGGTGAAAGCCAGATGGCAAGTCACACGTCAAAAGGACAGCTGGTTACCAGAATCTGAAGAGACATCTTTATAGCTCCAAACCTAATTAGTACCAACTTAACAAATCCCAACAAGATACAGGCCATGAACAGGCCATGCCAATGATTCATCATACAAGGTGACATAACATAATTAAGCTCTAAATGTTTACATCTGCAAGCTGCAACATGGCCAATCAGGCTTGTTCCATCAGCGGTCATTGCCTCCACTGATCTATCTTACGTTAAACAATGAAAGCAGGCTTTAATGATTATATGGATCTAATATTTAAAAATGTGAATATTAACTACACTGATCAGTTCACTGTGTCAGATTAGTGGGTCTTCCAGCGAGCGTCGTCTGCCATCACACTGCTGACTTATCTTTGAGGCTTTGGTTGCTGCCTGGCGGGCCGAACTCTCCTTCTGCAGGACCTGTGGGTCACATCAAGAAAAATGAAGGAGGTCCTTTGAAAAATTTAAATCTAAAGAATAAATAATCACTCAAGTGTAGGATTGGCACTGACCCCTTTTATTATTTTTCTGCGTAGTTCCCCCTGTGAAAGTGGTCGTTCTTCCTCATCAGTTACAGGAGACTCTTCGGCATCATACTCCACACTGAGTCCAACAAACACAGACAATCATCAGCCGAATGTTCAAAGTGTTTGAGTTCATTACTCATTATAAACACAATGAATATGAGCACAAAGGCTGACCTGTTAAGTGCAGGTTTTATGCTAACACTCTGTTGAAGAAGTTCAGGATTTTGACCCAGAAGAAATTTGGCTAAGTCTTTTGGATTGTAGTCTTTTTCCAGATCCTTTAAGAGACACAAATACAGAGGCACATTATACTCCAGGGCAGAAAAACAACATGTAAGAAGAGAACAGAACCCCAGGCTGACACGTTACTTTCGAAGTGAGGTATGCTTGTATGGTGAGCAGCTCGTTAGTCTTCTGTTCCACAAGGCCCAGGTAAGACATGATGTTGTTCTCACTGATCCCTGTAGAGGAGCCCAGCATATCCTCTATCACAGAGCGATCGCACTCCATTTCAGAGAAGATGCCGTTCACTCCTGGGAGATGGGAGAAACCAGTTCTGTGATAAATATCCAGCTTAACATGCCACATTTTGTGTCATTCAGAAAAATCTGAATTTTACGAGTCTGTAATCTACTCATAATTTCCAGTTACTCTATTACACAATTTTTCTAAGACTCCAATGAAACATAGTATACTTTTGGTTTCAATACTGACAAAGAACCGTTGGCCATTGTTAAAATATTTGTTTCTGTAAATAAAAACCCAATACTTTATTCATAACATCTATAT